TCTCTTTGAAAAGTCTAATAAGATAATAATAAAGAAAAATCTTCTCTATATTACAACTGACTCTATATTACAACTGAAGAAAAAATAAATGATGATGATGATGATACTTAAAGTATCATCATCATCATCATTTATTTTTTCTTTAGTGGCTCGAAATGAAACAAAACACTAAAAACAAACGCTTAAAAAAAATGTAATAATTAAAACACATTGCAACCTAGCTAGAAGTTAGAAAGAAGTAGGGTAATGGCTGCAGCAAATTTATTAGCGTTACTTATGGAAACTAGATATAGGATAGATATGAGGTAAACTGCAAAATAGCGTATTATCTGAACGACTTTATGTTCGTGGGCTCAATATTTCGCGAATCTTAAAAAGTGTGGGTTGCGGAATTTTTCGTGGGCTCTGAATTTAGCGATGTGGAGCGATATGCTATATACTGTGGAGCAATATATTTGCGAAACCAATTTTTTGCAATATGTATTTTTCTAGGTCGTGTCACAAAAATTAGGTCCTCCAAAAGTTACGTCATTTACAGTGCATGTAAACATGATTCTGATACAATTCATGACCGCATTAATTGGGTGGTAGTGTACTGGCAAAACTTCTCATTTACAGTAGAGACAGAAATCATTTTATTTGAAGGCAGCCATAACTTTCAGCCATAATGATGTTCACAAAAGCCATTTTTTATATGTAATGTCAGTGACGACACAGCATTATACTGATAACAAACGGCGGCTGTAAAGAACGTCTAGTGACTAAAGATTACATTTGGTGCAAGGCTTACCATATGTAAATATTAGCCTACTCAAGACAAAGGAACAATGTCCTATCTCGCAAAGCAGCTTGCTATAAAATCCTTCTGTAAATACTACTGCATCCATCCAAATGCAGAAATGCCAGTCAGAATTCTAATAAGCACCTTTACGATGTCTGATATGTGCACTGTCTGCTTTTCGAGGTTATGTTTGCACCAATTTTGTTCACTGGACTGGGTCTGTACCTGTCTAAAATAGGTACCGGTAAGTGTGCAGCTTCGTTATATATACACTGATTAACTAGAAGCCCCCCTGAAGCATGAGTGCACTTTGGTTGTATCTTTACTGCAGATGTAAAATGTGTCCCAGCCAAACTTATTAACGCGGTGAGGGTCACCTCCCAGTGAACACTACGATTACTAGAAGTAGGCTATCTTTCGGTGTTTACGAAAAATAGCAAATCAAGCCAAACATAGGGATGGGTTGTCTTTTGGGGATGGGGCATCTCTCGGAATTGTATGGTAAGAGTTGTAACTGTGCACACTTTATAACGCTTCATGCTGGTCATAACTTGACAGTGCTTGCAAGCTCGGAACATGGGTACTCTTTGGTGCAATCGCCCACAGCTTTTATCCCGTCACCCTTCTGCTCTGTGACAACAAAAATTAAAATGTTCTCAAGCAAAATGCCCCACACGAAAGGCAAGTTATTTCTGCTTTCTTTGCAAGAGTCAAGCAACGAGATCCACGAGTGTAGTTTCAAATACACTATCGTCCAGCCCTGAGCTGAATGGAACAAAAACTATGAGGCCGTCCGTGGTGATGGACTGACTGACTTAATTCTCATGCCTCTGTCTTCCAAAATGATTCCATTATATACTCCATTCACTGAGACTAGAAGCTCCACTTTCAGCACAAGCTCGCTGGCTTTTGCAGTGCTTTGTGTGCTCTTGCCTGTGCATTCACACTTGTGTTAGCAAGGGCAGAAAGCTTGCATCAAAGGTGGAGCTTCTAGTCTCAGCGGGGTGAACAGAGTATAATGGTTCTTTTCCAGAAATATCGGTTTGAGGGCAAATGGATGTAGTACCCTTTCTCTTCCTTCTCGCTGAAGAGAGGGAAGATGGTTTCTTTGTCTCAACTTCGGGACCGAAGACAACCTACGATGGTAGACAAAACCAAAGTTTGAGGGAGCCATATCTAGGCCTTGCAGCAGCTCAACGGGCAAACGGGATGAAACGGGTGGGACGGGCCTTGCGCACGCATTGTTTTCTTGCCACTTAGTCTCGAACCCAGTCGCATGTCTATACTTGTTTTCGCCTCAAGAATTAAATGAGAGTTTGTGCACTGTTCATACGCCACACGAAGTACCTAGCTCTTAAATGATATGGTTGTCGAAGGAACAAATGATGCTTTTGGCATTTGAAATGTGTACGTCTTGATAGGACAACAGATATCTAATCTAATATACACCTACATATATCTTAATTCTCTACATAAAGAGGGAAATTAGTAATGCCCCGCAAGGGGCCAGACATTTTTACTACAGTTCTTGAGGTGTAAACGAGTATTGGCGGCAAGATGTTTTTGTGGCGCCACATCGCGGGCGTCCTCCTGTGACGGAGATGGTAGGGTGCAAACAGACGACGCGCTATGTCAAAGCGTGGAGTGGCTATGTTAGCTTGCATCTATGCCGATTAAAAATAGTTTATTTATTAAAGAAACGTTTATGGCATTTTTGTGAATGGTCTTTCTGATGAATAAAAACATCTTGAGGATGCTTTTTTATATTAAAAAGCTTTAGAATGTTCAAAAACAAGCGCGGAGCTTCACATTACAGCTTGTGCGGCATGTGCAGTGGTTTTGAGTGGGGGGGCAAACCGGACCCCCCCCCCCAGACCGGGGGACGGTACCCTTGGTATCGTTGGGCGCCGCCAACCACTGTTTGACCTGCCCAGTGGCGGCTGTTTCAAGGGGGGCAAAAATACATGCCTTGCCCCCCCACTCTGAGAACTGGGGGAAGGGGGGGGGGGGGGGGGGGGGGGGGGGGGGTAAGCGCCCCCCTTGCCCCCCCAGTTGGTATGCCCAGGGGCATGTGTCAAAGCTATTCACCGCCTCACTAATTTTTTTTTTTATTTTTTTTTATCTGTGGAGGCTGCTGTAGAAAAGTTCTGCGTTCACCAGAGTAAATGACGTAGTGTCTTAGCTGTGCATGCACGCACAGTTGTGTCGCAAAGCGCCGCTCATTTGTTTTAGCTACATTAAGCTTGCTATACCGACTCTTCTATCCAAGTGCGACTTGACAGTTGCTCATGAGCAAATGCTTGTCAGCAGCTGACGCTTAGCTCCTCCTCCATTGAATACGTGGCAAAGAAGTTTGTCACATCGCAACCTCTGCTTGAAAGAAAAGCAGAAAGTTTCATAACTTCTTAAATTGTTGGACATAGCCTGGCAAATTCAGGCAATCGATTCATTTGTTCTATACAATTTTTACTGAGAACTGTTTACACGTTCGCCGAGAAGCGCATCACGCATTATGCGCATTTGGGTCCACAAAATTAAACATACAAACAATGGTAATTTACAGGTGTATACTTTCTTTTTTGGTATGCTGAAGTGTCACCAACTTACTAGATTTAAGACTTCGATCGCGAGAGGGTCTCGCGTGTTTCGCGTCGACCCGGTGAATAAGGCGGGATTTAATTGAAACGAAACTGGAAGCCAGCCACCTCTTCTTCCTGCCAGTTATATTGAGGATGTTTGTTTACTGGTTTACAAAATTCAAAAAGGAATCAACTCGGAACTAATCAGAGACCGTCACTCACAGAACCCATTGCAACCAACGGGATACACAGAGTCGCTTTCATTGAAGTGCAGGGGTTTCCCCAGGAATTGAAATCAGGGGGGTGTCTAAATTTTTAGGGAGGGAGAAGGGGGGGAGGGAGAGTTGAGATAGAGGAGTCGTTGCGAATTAAGGGGTAGCCTTCAGAAAAACAAGGGGGGGGGGGGGGGGGGGGATGTGTAGGGAAATCGCTGCTCAAGTGTGTACTGCACATGTGAGAGGTTCTCGAATTTCGCTTTCTTTTCAATTTGATGAGACATTACTTTCTCAGTTTTATTTTGTCCGAATCATAATAAAAAATACACCCTATTCGCCGTGGTAGATGTTCTAGCTGGGTAAAGCGCTGAATATTCTCTATTTTTGTCATCCAGCTTGTACTGGGTTAGAGAACCATCATCCCAGTGCTTCAACACCTCAGTGCCAAAAGTGCTTGTTAGCACGACTACACGTGCCACAGTTTTAAGCTTTGGTAAAATGTCCACCTCCACGATCCCCAGCGATTCGACACCTCAGCGCCAAAAGTGTTTGTTAGCACGCCTACACGTGCCACGGTTTCAAGCTTTGGTAAAATGTCTTAGAAATATCACTGCACCGAATTAACACAACATGTGAAAGAGCTGCTTTGCCTTGCATTGCCCAAAGAGCGCATGAAGCGAGCTGTTGAGCCAAGGGATCCAAGAACTGCGCGGTCTGTCCCAGTTTGTCCTACCAGTGACGTCACAAACGATGATGATGATAGCTAGAGAAGCACCTTCTGTAGTTCGCGCATACCGCCAATAGTGGCAACAGATAATGGACCTTTTGCAGAAACATCGGTTCGAGAGTAACTGGTTCCAGTACCCTCTCTCTCTTCCTTCTGGCCGAGCAGAGAGGGAAGATGGTTTCGTTGTGTCGACTTCGGGGCGGAAGATTACGCACGATGGGGACAAAGGCGAGTTTGGGGGAGCCGTATCTAGGTCACAGCGCCTCAATGGGTGAACAGGATGTCGCTGACGTTTTGGGTGTGCAACGGGTGGGAGAGGCCTCGCGCGCGCGTTGTTTTTTCGCCACTTAGCCTCGACCCCAGTCGCGTGTCTAGGTGGCAGCACATATTCGCCAAGAGGTCCATTGAAAAAGGTGGATTCAGGACTGGCAGGTGGCTTTACTTTTGGTAAGATTACATGCCCGACGAATGTGCCAGGTGGGAAGGTTTCAATGAAAATAGTTCTTGGTTAGAGCAAACATTCCTGGCAATCCGGCAATGTTTTTTTTTGTTTTTTTTTAATATATAAATTAGATCAGAGTTTAAGTGGAATGAGAGTTCATATCTCCCGGCAAAACAAAGTGATGACGTCACACACACCTATATTGACGCGCGCGCCACCTTGAGGTGAAATATGCAGAAGCCGGCCACAAAAGCCGGCTTCAGGAAAAGATAAAAAAAGGGGAAAACACTTTCAAGAGCGCAGGCCTAGTGGTCATTGCTTCGTGCTTTGTCTCGTTGAATGATTGCTGCGTATGAACTTTTACCACCCGTAGCTTTTGCGTCTCGCACTGCGGAGCGCCTTTGGATCAAGTTCTGCGGCTCTGCTGCTCGCAGGAAACACTTCGTCGTGTTGATCGCTACTCCCATCCCGATTTGTAGCGCTAGCATCTCGGAAGCAGCGATGGTTAGCTGTACCTTCAAACTTCGCACTAAAAAGTAAGTCGACTACGGCAAAAACCTACGCTCCTCGCTTGCTTCGACGCAACCTTGCTTCTAAAGATGGAAAAGCGCGACACAGTCGGTGGTTCAGCGAACGTCACCGAAAACTCTCCGATCGCCGGTGCCGGTAATGGCTGTGTGGCGGGTCGACATGCCGACGAGGCGAGCTCGACTGCCGATGTGATCGCTGATCGCTCAGCGCGGCCGTATGACCGCGGCGAGACGATTGAGGACATCTTGTTGGAACTCAACGCGACGAGTCGGAGCGCTGTTCCTGCGCCCGTGGAAACGCCGCAAGCCCCCGTTGAAGAGTCTGACAGAGATTCAACGTGCGACAAGAAAACGGAATCGATCGCATCGTCGGGTTGTGGTGCGCACGCTTTAGAAGAGGACGATTTGCGCAACCCCGGCGTCGATCCCGAGCCACGGTCTTCGGAGATAGACTACGACGACTACATCGTCGCCGATGAGGCTAGCGCTGACGAGGGTACCACTCAAGATGACTGTGCCACAAAAGACGAAAATGAAGATCGCGTGCCGCTTCCACCATCTGGTAACGACAACAACGGTGAAGAGAAAAACGAATGCTCGGAAGCCGCCGCCACCTCTTCCGAAAAAGCCGGTGGTACAGTCGTAGCCGAGACCGTGAAAGTGACGCAGCTTGATAGTCCAGTCAAGTCCATGGTCGGGAGTCAGGAATCGGGTGAGGTGAAGGAATCCAAAATGTCGAGCGGTCCAGTATCTGAAGTGCCCGGAACGCCACGTAGGACCGGCCGTCAGAGAAATGCTCCGCAGAGGTTGGCGGACGGCACCGAGAAACGTTCCCCTGAACGTAAGCAGACCGGACCCCAAAAACCGGCTGCAGAAGCCGCCGCGGCAGAACTTTTAACAGTTGACCAGAACCATCATGCAGAAGCTGTACCGAACGGCAACGGCAATCTAGCTGGGCAGACGTACAAGGTATCTCCCGGGAAACAGCATTTGACCAAAGCACAAAGAAAGCTCATGGTTGACGATGAAGTGCCTGCATTGCCAAAGCAAGTGACCCCGAGAAAGCGTGCAAGTAAATTAATCGTGGAGGAAGCTGCTGTTCCCCCTGAAGCATCTGTCATTGTGAAACCAGAAATCTTTTCGGATGGTGACAATCCTCTGATTGAATGCAAAACAAAGGCATCACCCAGGGGTAAGCGATTGACCAAAGTGCAGAGCCAAGGTGCACTTGAAGATCAAACATCTGCATCGCCCAAAAAGGGTACTCCGAGAAAACGAGTTGCTACACCAGCTGTGGAACAAATGACAGCCAAGGCCCCCACCAATGGTAATGAACCAGGCATTCTTTCAGGAAGTGATGTTCCTCTGGTCATACACAAAACCAAGCCACTGCCCAGAGCCAAGCAACCACCCAAGGCCAAGCAATTACCTATTTCTTCCAAAAAGGGTACATCAGGAAAACGTGTAACCACGGAAGAAGCCTTGCTTCCTGAAATTGCTGGAACTGATGCCCAGGCAGAAGTCTTTTCGGATGAGGATGCTCCCTTAGCAAAACGTAGAAAGAAGCAATCTTCTGCAAGTAACATGCTGACGAAAGTGCAGAAACAGCTTGCATTAGAGAAACTACCATCTGGTTTGCTAAAACGGGGCACATCAACAGAACATGCATCCAGGTCAGCTTCAGATGTGCCCGCTGTTGCAAACAGCACCGTCCAGCCAGACTTTCTCTCTGATGATGAGGAACCACTTAATAAACGCAAAACAAAGGCTTCACCTAAGAAGCAGGCAGTCAGAGCAAAAAAACAGTTAACACTTGAAGAACAACCACAGGTCACATCCGGTCGAGCGGTGCCAAGAAAGCGTCGGAGCAACGTCGACGCAGGCCTTGAAGTGTCATCTCCACCTAGAAAAGAACTAGAAGTGAAAACAAGAGGCAAGAAGCAGAGAACAGCAGCTGATAAGGACCTGGAACTTCCAGCAGCATCTGCTTTGGGGACTCTGTCTAATGAGAACCAAGAGCCTTCTCTAGCCAAAATGCAACAAAAGGCAGCAAAAAGTGTAAGAGCTTCGAAGAAACCTGGACAACTCAAAGGGCTTCCAACCGAGCCTGATGAACAGCCTATGGAGCATGCAGATGTAGTGCAGGAAAAGCAGGCTACATTGGAAACTGATCCTCTTCAGCAAGTGCATCCTAAAGAGTCCCCGTCCAGTTCTCCACACCCCAGATGCATCTCGGGTAGTCTACAAAATCAAGACCTGTGGACTCTGCGTGATTCTCCCTCCTGGAGAGCGGAACAGTTTGTCTCGTCGGACCGTCTGCTGAGGGAGACCGTCTGCCTCGGCCTCCGTGAACGAGAGGTGACAACAGGTCCCGCTTTCTTGACTATCGAGGTCCCTTCCTCGGGCCTCGACCCCAGACGGTGCTGGGGACCGAAGTCTGCTCGTAGAAGGCCCACCGTGGTTTTTGGTGGCTGTGATCCTTACAAGATGTATGTGAATGTGCACGGCACAAGGGTCCTGCTGCAGCAGTGGAGCCGGGTGTCCAACATCACGCCGACTGTACGACTCACCGACATGTTTGCTACATTTTCTTTGAAGTGATGTCACAATTTTGTTGTGCACACTCAACAAAAGGTCTATTGCAAGGCTTTTTGTTCAGTGATGTCAGAATTTTGTTCATTTCCTCTTCATATTGCTAGTGTACTCAAAATATGGCTGGCTGGGTTTGTTCTTGGATTTTAGAAGTTTTTTTCGGAAAGTTATTTGTGGTCGAGCAACTTTTTCTGAATGCAAAGCATTTCGTCGATTGTCATGGTACATGATGTGTTTACTCCACAGCAGCGTTTTGTGGTTTATTCCACACACCTTTAAGGTGGACTTGAGAGTATGAATTGGATAGATTTTGACATTGTGACAGGCCATCTTGTTTTTCTGTTTTACACATATCCGTAGCGAATTGTAGTTTGAACATGTACCGACGGGGGACTTGGTCTCTTTGGATGTGCTGCACGTGTTTCTAGACTGTGCTGCTTGGTGGTTTAGATGTATACTAAACACCTTGATTACCAACCTCCATATTCATATCCCGTGTGGATGTTGGGCACACCGTCGTAAAATTGGAGTCCCGGTTTTTTTTATTTTAAAGTGCTTCTGCGGCTTGGTTGGGAAAAAAAGTGAAGGTTTTTTGGTTTTTTTTTATTTCCATCAACATTTGGCAGGTGCATTTGCAGATGTGCAAAACAGTTGTACCTCGGGAATCTGCTGCCATCGGCAGTTTCACCCCATCATTCCTCGCCAACAATGTATGTTTTTTACACCATTGTTCATATATTAAAACATTTGTAGACGTTCCTTGCCGTGTAAAAATGTGCAACTGTGACAATTCTCCTGTCTCTCGTTTTCAATCTGCTCAAACATACTTCCCAGGCACTAGCTTCACCTTGAGCATTAGAGGGTGCCCAGTAACAGTGCTCCCATATTTCGAACTCTCTCTGTACTTCCACAAGACCATGCACAACACACAACAGTAGAAGTAGCGCTATCCACCACACGCTGCCCTATGCACTGCACACGGGTTGGGACTCGAGACCAGACTTTTGGCTTTGCAAGATTGCCCTCGCTGCATGGATGTCTACAAACCAGAGGCACACTTCGCAGCAAGGGGGCTCACGGTCGCAGATGTAGCTGCGCTCCCTAGCTTGGTGCAAATGAAGCGGAACAAGGCAGGGGCATCGAGAAAGCGTGCCTGTGGAGGTCTACTCACCCTTTTTTGTTTGGCAACAAACTTGGTTAGCCCCGGCACACTTCCGGTTCACATGTTTCCCAATTTGTTTTACTCGTCATCCTTTTATCGTAAGAGTAAATCAAGTCTGATAGAGCTACGAGTGGCCATTTCCTGAAGATAGCGTGAATATTTGATTATGCAAATACTGGGAAACCTCCCGTCAAGTTCAGAACCGGAAGGGGTTGGTGCCTATTTGCACAATGGCACCACGTTTCGACCCTCGCGAGAAAGAACGAATAGTAAAGCTGACACGCTGGGACTTACGAATTTGACTTAGACCGAAGATGGATTTCGCGGGATCATACTTTCAACACGGGAAATTTGTACATTTATTGATATCGGTTCAAGATCACCGGGGGTAAAAACGTGATGGAACGCAACCTATGGCAAGACTAGCCTTTTCTGTCTGGACGATCTCGCAGTACTAATATTTACAGCAGGGAATATGGCTGGGTTTGTGTACCCGTCAAAAGCACTTCATTTGCACAAGCACTTGCATACCATTAGCACCCTCAAACTTTCCGCCCACACTGCACCATACAGGAATATATGGCACGGTGTGATGCTGCTGTGCTACAACAGAGTGACAATCCTAAGCTGAGTGCAGCAGATGAAGATAAAACATTTTTTTCCCCGTAATTCTGCACTGGTAGAAAAACAGTTTTAGAAATGCGTCATAATTGCGGGTCAACTGGTACTCGGGCCACAAGATGAAGGGGGCACCACTATGCTCCGTTAATGGCACGCGAGACCTGCAAAGGAAACTACCTGAACTTGTCTCGTGTCTGGATGGCATTGCCACAAATCCTCAGTCCGAGTTGTAACAACTCCCTAAACAAGCGATGCAAGGCAGACTAATGGGCCGACCAGCAACGTTGAGCAGCACACATTAGTTTTCAGGTCAGTACAACACGTCCAGTCTCGTTCCGGCCATCGCATGCTACGCACTGTTCCTAAACGCTCCGGAAATGCACGAGATTACCCGCACAGCGCAACACCTCCGGTGTCGCGGCCCACGTCGAAGAAACGGAATCCACACGGCGCCGCATCGATGAGCTCTGCTCCCTTCTTCAGAGGTCGATGAGCAGTTCGAGTCCCCGCTCCTTCTCTTCCCTCCGCCTCCTCTCCTCGATGAGCTTTCTCACCCTCGTCCCGTACTGCCGGTGCAGCTCGGCAAATGTGTACTTGGCCGACGCCACGGCACGTGGTGATGCCGACGCGACCGGCGGCGCCGCCCCCTCGCTGCCGGCGGCAAAGTCCTCCTTCCAGCGATCGAAGGGGTTGAAGCGGGCGGTGCGGCCCGAGGTGTCGCGCACGCACAGGCAGCTGTCCGACCGGTTGGCCGGCAGCTGGCCCCCGACGAGCAGCGGCGTGGTGTTGCCGCACTTGGCAAGCCGCTCGGCCTCGGCCACCTCGCTGAGCTGGCGCTGCAGCTCGGCCACCATGAGCTTCATGTAGTCGTACGAGGCGCAGGCCAGGGCCTTCATCCAGCCCTCCATGCACTCCTGCGACTCAGCCGAAAGCATGTACATCCGGTGGCCCGAGCCGTGGAACACCACCTGGGGAGCAACGGTCGGGTCTCATTAATATCGGCTCAATAACATGGATACCTTGCTGTGTGGGCAAGCTTTTCGGGGACGAACTGGGCAATTAGGTGCGTCTCTGTCTCGCTGTCACGGACGGTTCGCATTATGGATTATTTGTCCGGAGAACAGAGGTGTCCATATGGACGAGATATCGCTGCATTGGCAAACAAGAACACTGATTTGACCTTTTTTCTTTATTGTTTTTGTGCCACTTTTTAAGTGTTAACCCCTAATAACGAGTGTCACTCGTGCCGCCATTTACGGACCATAAAACCCGACCACGAGTGTGACTCGTGTTTCGGTTTCAGAGCTTGTTTTGTGAGCTCTGCGGCAGATGGCAGCACTACCCCTGTTGCTCCTGTTTACCTTGGGTTCTTTTCTTGTTTGCTTTGCCTTTTGACAGAGAGAGGGCGCTCCATTGACAAAAAATAAGCGCACTATTGTAAGCAAGCGCGCCAAAAACATGTCTTCGGCGCGGAGGTCTGCTTTGGCGGACGAAGATATACAAAGACTTCTTTTTGAAAGTGATGAATGCGCCACTATTTCTGACGACGAATCCTGCTGCCTTTCCGATTACTCGGAATCCGATGAGAGTTCAACGGACTGTGAGAAAAGTGTTGAAAACGATGCGAATCCTGGAAGCATTTCATCGACTTCCGCGTCTGCACGTCAGTGGAACTGGGAGAAGAGGGACAACCAGCCTGCTCAGTTCACCTTTGTAGAAACCCCAGGTGTGTCAGCAAGGGTTCAACGCAGTCTTGGTGAGAAGACAAGCGCCTTGTCGACCTTTTCCGTGCTTGCAAGTCATGATTTTTGGGCGTCTGCCTCTGCTGAGACAAATCGCTACGCCGAACAAGAGATGGGCGATGAGGATCGTCCCAAGAAATGCTATGAGGAGCAATGGTTTGACACCATTCCGGATGAGATAAAGGCATACTTTGCCTTGTGCATCATTATGACGCAAGTGAAAAAACACACAGTCAAAAGGAACTGGTCCAAGAGGTCCATAGTGGAGACCCCAATTTTCGGCAAAACAATGTCCTATGTGAGGTTTCTGCTAATCTCTCGATTTCTATCATACTGTAAAGAACTACTGAAGAAGAGGAGACGACCAGAGGTCCTGGTATAGAGCACGAGACTACGCCTGAAAGCCAAGGAAACGTTTTTCTTTATTTTGACTCAAATTGCTTGATTTAAATAAAGCTTTCTGTACGATCTTTAAAGAAAAAAACATGAGTAGGCAAGGGGTTAAATGACCGCATTCCTGACAGTCCACGGCGACGAGTCTCGACCTGCTGCAAGATGGAGAACTAAGCAATTAAAATCTACTTGTATCTTGTGCCCAAAGATGGCGTGAAGTATGAATGTAGTGCTTACTCGCGTATGTCACGCTTTCAACCTAGTCTCGGCGTCGTTTCAGGTTACAACCCTAGCAGCGCAGTCTGATCGGAGAATGATTACCAGCCCAATTGCAAGCACTGCTGTACAGATATAGGCAATGGATAGTATTTAATAAGTAATTTCTGGGGCAAAGTCATAGAAATAACACTGTGCACTATTGCGTGAAAAACGCTGCACAATATAATTTCTAGAATTTTCCCACAACAGCTTGACACTAGGTGTCCGCCGGAAGCTTCCGCATCACTCACTAAAGGAAATCAAACCTAGCCTCAACAGAAATCGAGTCAGGAGAGCCCTTGCCATATCTTCCAGAATGTGAAAAAAGTTGCTAAAAGTGAAACAACGAAAGTAGTGGAAAAACAATAATCGCCGCATTGCCAGCATGATAAACCAACCTTCGATACCTGCGGAGCCTTCTTATTAAAGATACAACCGGAATACTCTGGGCGAGTACAGGCACGACATACTCCAGTTATCTGAGCATTTATGCAAAAGACATTCCCCAAGATGATGCAATGCTGCACTTTGAGCATCCAACGAGGGGGATTGACGGCCAAGTGTGTTGGCACGCAGCAGATTGGAGCATGTGGAGAGAAAGCTCGTGCTCCAGAGCCCAGGGATCCTGGGCTCTATTCTCCCCACTCCTGCCGATTTCAATCTGGACGAGCATCGCACCGGCGTGAGGTCGTGTATCACTACAGCGTGATGCATGTTCAGACCCCGCAATGGCAGTGGTAGTGGCAAGATCTCTCATCTGTAATGGAGATGCCAGACACCCATTGTGGCTAACTAACATTGCACTGCCTAATGAGCAGCGACTTCAATATTTTCCAGGATGGCAACTACAGCATGAAAACTAACGCTTTTAGGGCACTTTAGACGGCCCGCAAAAATCGGTTTTTCAACGTATCGCGCTGCAATTTGCTACAGAGGTGCAAGCAGGTGGTGTAAGTTTACGGTGAAAACAGCAGAAAATAAACTTCTTCCCAGACGATGCACGCCTAGAGAGAAGTGCTGCCGACAGACGGCGTACGCTGCGTCGAGGGAGCGCTGGCCGATTTGGGTTCTTTTACGGGATCGTCTGCCAGCTCACTACTCGTGCATTGCCTGCTAAGTGGCGGCATAGATTGCCCAGAACAGGATGTTTTCTTCTTCTTTTAAATGAGGTAAGTTTGTCGAATATGGCTTTTTAAAATATGTGCAAGCATATCCCTTCATTTTTTCACTGTAAACTTACACCACCTGTTTGTACCTTGTAGCAAATCGTAGCGCAATACGTTGAGAAGCCGATTTTTGCATTAGTTTACATGTGGGTCTAGACATTTCATCACACACTGTTTCATTGAAGCCGTTTCATAGAATGCCATTTCATCAAAGCCGTTTCATCGAACACCGCCTACTTGAGCAGATGGAATTCTACACCTAGGAAATAGTTTTTTTTTTTTAACACCACAAGGAGAACACTGTTATTCAATATAATGGGCCTTTCTCAGAGTTTGGCCACAATCGTGGCTCACCCTTGTGGGAATCGCTCAAAACTTTTCTTGGGGAGCTCCATCATCCACACCAAGACCTGGCGTGTCTGTCGATCCGTGTGTTTAAGTGTGTTCTCTGGTGGCGTTCCATCTTTCGCCATTATGAACATGTCTTTCTGTTGTCGCTTTGCGTGTATCTTTTTTTTTTTTTTTTTTTTTGAATGGCTGAGGACGACCCTGAAGGATTCATGAAAGCCACTGTCTACGATACAGATGACCTCGTTCGTCTTTATACCTTGAAACTCAATCGTCACTTGGGTGTCGCGTCGAGCAAGTAACTGAAAAAAGGGGTCGGCTTTCAAGGCAGTGTTATGTAAGTAATGGTGACCAGTTTTGATCCCGACCCAACTATCCACCTTGTGCGGAGTTTGTGAGCTCCATTTATGAGGCCAAGCCACTACAAACAACTAACTACGCTCTCCTTGAGCGCCTAATTTATTCAAGCTTATTGTGTTCCGTCACTTTGCCATCCTCTGTATTGCGCGAGCGCACGGGGCATCGCCATACCCGGGGCCGTGCAAACAAACTCGGAGGGGGTAAAATCCGAACAGTCCTGATATCGAGAAGGTTCGCCTGCGTCGTCAAAAAATAAGGAACTGTATGTTAGAAACAACCTCTCTTTGAATTCAGCACGTCTACGAACCTCCGATGAAGTGGACCCGGCGAACAGGGGAGTTTACGGTTGGTTGCCAAGGTGTTCCATCAGGCTTCTCTCACCGTAAGGCTTGAATCCATTTCGCACGCCTCAAATGTTTTGCCAGTGACTGATGTTTCTTGTTTTCTTTTTCTTTCACCTTTAACGTGACAAGACGTAAATGTGTATAGCGTGCGCCTGAAGAACGGAAAGCTTTAACCAGTTGTTCTTTACTTGAGTACGGCATGATTAAGTTACACAACCGCGCGTGTACCTTACTGTCTTCTAGTTAAAAGCAGGGACTCAAACCGTAACCGTAACCGAAACCGAAAACCGTTTAGGAACGAAATTTTTTCTGTAACCGTAACCGGAACGAAACCGCTATTTGATATTTATAAAAACCGGAACCGGAACCGGAACCGTAAATTATTCACCGGTAACCGGTTTTAACCAATATTAACCGAAATATAAACTATTAGTTTTTCTGAAGTATGACCTGGAGGAGGGATCTTAAATTGTTGTGGCCATTTGACAGAGTTACTGTCAGCGAGTGGTGCATCTGGTTACATATTTCCATTCAATCTGACTTTAGGAATAAGAATAGTCAGATTGAATTAGTGGTCGAGCTTATAATTAAAAAAATTCTATATTTCTAAATCTGCCACACTCCTACATCGCTACATGTATTCAGTACGTGTCGCTTTCAGTGTATTAACTATTAAGTTCGAATTCTCAGATGTCCATCCAACTCGGTTCTATCAAAAAAACCGATGTTCCTGACATGCAGTAGCCAGTATAAAGAAACGAGGTAAATTGGCCATCATGCAGAGCTGGCGGAAAAGAAAACCTAGGCCCGTTTGCTCGAAGCGCTAACCGCGGCTAAAGTTAGCAGCAGTACCTAGGAGAGGGAGTTTGAAATCACGTGACTGGGGGCTGGGATGCCGGGAAGCATGGCGGCGCCCCGGTGCGTGAGCGCCGCTCGCTTTGTAACTAATATGTCGTTGTAGCTGCACTATCGGGCGCGTTAGTCAGCAACGAATGGTTCAGGAGGCTTTCGCTTTGCCTTACCTCGCTTAAATCGCAAAGCACGAGCAATGACTTCGCGGCATTTGTTGCATAGTCTTTCGATTCTGGCCTTTCTAAGCCTAAATGAACGCGATAATTGTCGGCATGGCAACGTCTTTGGAAAGCGGATTGCCTTGACTCAATCGACCGGATATTAATAGTACACAAAAGAAGACCAGCGTCCCGCCCCAACATACCTTTTTCTAAATTACCCAAGCATCGAGAAGAACGCTGGAAGTGTAATTCTATGGTCCGCGCTCGCTGTCCTTCCTCTTATAAAAGATTCAAAGTAAATAATCATTACAAGACTTGGACGAACGCGCGTGCAAGGCAAAATT